ATATATACATTTGGATGTCAATTTGCAATGATGGGTGTCAAGGGGTTAATAGCACCACTTTCACATTTTAACAAATGAAACAATCAATAGTATTCAAATATGAAATGCAACAAGCGCAAGTATAACTGAGACAAAGATTAGTGTGAGCTAGAACGCTGAGATCAAGTAAGCAAGAAGTCCAGTTAAGAGAATCCTCTACCTTATAACCTCAGCTCTGACGCATTTACACCATCAGGAGCCATTTAAATTCAATATGCATCTAATTACCAGATAAAATGGAGCGTGAAATTAAAATATATGTAACACTCACAAGAGGTTCTGATTATTTACAAACAAAATCCTTCTTCCTGTCTTTGTGCAGGAAGTCTTTGTATCTCCATTGAGGCCAGAATAACTTTTACAAGAGCAAATCTAAAATGCAGATTGTCGTTAGCTTAACTTGGCTGTAAATATTTTTGCTCTAACTGACCAATCAGAGGACATAAAATGCTGACAAATGTTTGGGCCCTCTAGCTGCCCCCAAATCTGAAATATGATTGGTTGAAGAAAATGCTCCTCACTAATTTTGTTAGGTAACATCAGCCAGTACTGCTGATTCTGAAGGCCCTGGGCAGATTTGATTGATATAGCAATACACTAAGGCTGAAATCTGATTGGACAAAAAATATTGAGATCACATAAATGTAATGGAAGCAACTCGGTCATCAAGTGAAACGCAACAAAATTAAGAGAAATCATTGTTTTTCGAAAAAATTGATAGAGCTGGAAAGAAGAAAACTAAAGCTTAGGTTGAGAATGTATGTTAGTATCTCTGATTGATTTTAGGCCAGCAGAAGGCTTTGAAGGCCCTCGAAGCCCACCACTGGTCGTTACTATGCAGTTGTTTATCGCTTCTGTAATAACAGCCGCACTGCCATGAGGTGGGATATCCAGAATGTATGAGGGCACGCAATGCTATCTATTTTTATTTTCTTTTGAATAAATACTAAACTTTTCAGAATGTTTTTAACCCTTGGTTACAGTAAAAAAAAAAAAGCATTTTTTAAAAGTGTAGATGTCTGATTCGTAGAAAGACAGATAGCAGGCAAGCAGTCAACTTCACAGCATTAAAGGTAAGAAAACTCTCTCTTTTGAGACTGATGCTATAAATATTTAATTAGGGAACCACAAGGTAGAGGAAATTAAATTAATTAAAAACATTTATTATAAATAGCAACTAACTGTTGGTTTTCATATGTTTATTTGTGTAATAACTTATTTAACTGCTTTTTGTGTACTGGTACAGTTGTAAATTGAAGATAATGTGTTGACTTTATCATGTATAAGGTATGCAATAACTAAACTGTTCTTCTTTAAGCAGGATAGTCAAAAAAGAAAGAGAAAACACTGACATACACATCCAAGCAATGTCTCAAGCTCCGGTAAGTCATTCTGAGTTTAAGCTTTTCTTATGAACCATAACTTTGGTCCACATTAGGCATCAAAAGGGGTTTACACTATATTCAGTGGTGCCAAATAATTGATGGATTTTTCGTTTTTGTTCTCTTACAGATGGACATCAGTAATGTGGATGAACAATTTTGTGAAGGTCAGCAGCATGTGGAAAACAGAGACCTGGATCAGCAGAATATCTCTGAGAAATCAGTACATCGCTGTGACCACTGTGGAAAGGGTTTTAAGAGATCTCATGGTTTGAAAACACACCTGATTATCCACACCGGCGAAAAGCCTTTCCTCTGCCTGCACTGTGGGAAGCAATTCCGCACGAAAGGAAATTTGAATTGCCATCTAAAAATTCACACCGGCGAAAAGCCTTTCGTCTGCCATCAGTGTGGGAAGCAATTCCGCCAGAAAGGAGATTTGAATCGCCATCTACCCATTCACACCGGCGAAAAGCCTTTCGTCTGCCATCAGTGTGGGAAGCAATTCCGCCAGAAAGGAGAATTGAATCGCCATCTACCCATTCACACCGGCGAAAAGCCTTTCGTCTGCCATCAGTGTGGGAAGCAATTCCGCCAGAAAGGAGAATTGAATCGC